AGTTGGTACTAACTTCGCCGACAAGCGGCCTCTAGTCGCTATAGTTCACTTGCGGACTATAAGCTCCGAGAAAAAACATCAAACTGTTTGATGTGACGTTACGGTAACTTGAGTTCATAGGATACTTGGTTCGAATATCGGCCGGGCTACAAACTATAATGACTGAGTTTTATCGTGATTTCCATAGTCACTCGAGGCGAGGCGAATGCTTGAGATAGTTTTCTTAAAGTGGTTAGAATCGTCTCCTTCCATATTCTTACCTAACCACTGTTCCAAATCAAATCAAATGACCATTTAGTCGACGTCNCGAGCCAATTCGGAGTCATGTCCCACGTTCCGCAGACCTTTTCTGTCTCCGTCACGGACGGACCTGACAGAAGTAATGGACGATTTTCGAATGTATTTAAACATACCGAAAGTCAGTAGTATGTTTTAAGATCTAAAAGTTTGTGACGATGGTGCTTTAGTACAAGTATTATGTTTCTGGACATTATCAGTCGTCCTGTTTATATTTCAAAACGCAGCGTTTCGGAGACAGAATTCTGTCTCCGTCTTCAGGTAAAAACTATCTCCCGAGATAGCTCTGTCGATTGGGCCCAACTGAGTAGGTTTTGCCTGAAGACGGAGACGGAATCCAGTCTCCGAAACGCTGTGTTTAAAATATAAACAGGACGGCGGATCTTAGAGAGACAGGATGGTATGGTATGGATAGATCTGGCTCAGGATAGGGACCAGTGAAGTGCTCTTGTGAACACAGTAATGAACCTTGGGGTTCCATAAAATGCTGGGAAATTCTTGAGTAGCTGCAAAATTGGCGGCTCCTCCAGAAGGGCTCAGCTCCATGAGTAAGTAAATAAATAGGGTGTTTTAAATAAAAACAGGATGATGGATAAAGTCCAGAAACATAATATTTGTAATAGTATGGGTGGTTGTTCCCTGTTCGGTTCAGAAAAATTAGCTTGTGACGTCACTCATGTAGGTCCATGTGTTTGTTTGCTGATGTATCCTCTTTCGAATAAGTACATGCAAATACTGCAATCATCCTATATTAAGGCGGTTTTACAAACACAAACAGCGTTGGAGAGTGCTGACTTCTGATATATTACGCCGTGTAGTTTGGTAGAAGTTTGCTTTCTTTTCGGAGGAACGTACTGCCTCTATCTTCAGGGTGGAAAAGTAAGTAAAGCAACCTGTTTGCTTGGCGTACGCTTATACTCCAAAGACGAAGGCGGTATACTCCGGCTTACCGGTAGACTTTTACCAGACTATACGGTTGAGCGCCCCAGAAGGTAACACTCTTCACCGCCATGAGGACTCAAAACTCAACGGGGTTTTATACCAAGGAAGCTGTGAGTGATTTGGAGATGGAAGTCGTTAAACTGTAATAAACCTTCTATTCTTGTGTTAGCTTGTTGATAAATTGACGTTGTGACTGTTGATACTTAACGTCGAAGTATTGCAGAGGCGCTGAATGCGGACACCTGTCTTCACAGGGTTTGCCAGAGGATTGTTCACGCTGAAAGATTGATAGACATTTGATTCGTACTCCGAAAGAGATAGAAATGCCCGTCCGTCCCTCTACCTCCATATTTAGTCACAGTCATCAAGCTGGGGTACTTTTTCTTTAAATTCGCATAGTGAGGGGTGAAGTCCAGCTGGGTCCACTCGGCACGTCGGCCACTGATTGGCCTATTGTACCTTCCCCGGGTAATTAGGATGATAGAGAATTTGGTGAAATGAAGATTGGCAGCGGAAACCGACATACTCGGAGAAAACCTGCCCCAGCGCCACTTTGTCTACCACAAATCCCACTTGACCAGACCCGGGCTCGAACCCGGGCCGCCGCTTGAGCAATGGCGCTGCCAAGCTGGTGTCTAGTGATCAGAGTACCTGCCTACAGATCCAGATGTCCGGGTTCGATTTCCGGAGCTACCAGATTTTTTTTAGAAGTAGTGTGGGTCTGGAACGGGGTCCACTCCTCCTCGCGAGGATAATTGAGGAGCTATTTCAAGGAAATAGCGGCTCCGGTCTAGAAAACCGAAATTAACGGCTGTGGGGATTCGTTGCAATGACCACGCGACACCCTCTACCCGCTAAAGTTGGTACTAACTTCGCCGACAAGCGGCCTCTAGTCGCTATAGTTCACTTGCGGACTATAAGCTCCGAGAAAAAACATCAAACTGTTTGATGTGACGTTACGGTAACTTGAGTTCATAGGATACTTGGTTCGAATATCGGCCGGGCTACAAACTATAATGACTGAGTTTTATCGTGATTTCCATAGTCACTCGAGGCGAGGCGAATGCTTGAGATAGTTTTCTTAAAGTGGTTAGAATCGTCTCCTTCCATATTCTTACCTAACCACTGTTCCAAATCAAATCAAATGACCATTTAGTCGACGTCTTATAAACCTCTGCAGTTGAAACATAGTCGTTAAATAAGTTAGGAAGTCGGCTCAGGTAATGTATAATGTATGAGACTGAGTGGCTCATTTCTATGAAACCTTGGAACGCGTAACATGCCACTAGAGGTCATTTTATCCTGTAGCATTTTGGACCCTTCTCTGAAATGTTGATATGTCGGCTGTGCGAACTTAGGGAGCAATCTTCTGGCAGTATAAGCGAATAAGTGATTATTTAGTAAACCTGCTAACCTGTTTTCTTCTGTCAGAGATTGAAGTGACATTTTTAACAATATATAATTGTATTTGTTTTAGTTGGGTTTATAATTCCATACATTTGGACCTAAGAGGGATGTAGTGACAGGGGGTTGGAGAAAACTGCATAATGAGGAGCTTCATAACTTGTACTCTTCTCCAAGTATAATTAGAATGATCAAGTCAAGGAGGATGAGATGGGCAGGACATGTAGCACGAATGGGGGAGACGAATGCATGTAGGATATTGGTCGAAAAGCCAGAAGGAAAGAGACCACTGGGAAGACCAAGGCGTAGTTGGGTGGACAATATTAAAATGGATCTTAGAGAGATAGGATGGGATGGTATGGATTCGATTCAGCTGACTCAGGATAGGGACCAGTGGAGGGCTCTTGTGAACACGGTAATGAACCTTCGGGTTCCATAAAATGCTGGGAAATTCTTGAGTAGCTGCAGATGTGGCTTCTCCTCAAGAAGGGCTCAGCTCCATAAGTAAGTAAGTAAGTAAGTAAGTAAGTAATAATTCCATATCTTTTAAAAATAATGCAGTTCGATTCAGCGTCTTGTGTAGTTCATCTCTTGTGCTTACATCGAATTTTGCCTGTGAAATGTAGGAACGCCGACGCAGCATAAAGAAAACAGGAAATTGTATTGAATTGCTAATTGAGGTCTACAGCTCTCTGTAGTGATGCAGTGAACTTGTTTAACCACTGAAAGAGAAACTGTCTGAGAGGAAGCGAGTGAACCATCCTGCGCTGGAGGCCATAACCTTTTTTGTTCTGCTAGTCGCCTAAAGGCCTGAAATTCTAAACGTTGATACCAATATCCTTTTTTTTTTCTTTGGCCCTTGGCTTACCTCCATAAAAAACTTTGTTTCAGTACGGTTTACTTGATCTTAGATATTCGGTTGGACTCCTTGGGCGGGTAATCAGCTCGTCGCAAGGCCTCTACTTGTAGATACACACAGAAAAACGCACACACATAAGCACTGAACATCCATGCCTTGAGTGGGGTTCGAACTCACGGTCCAGGCTTCCGAGTGAAAGAAGACAATGCATGCCTTAAACCGCTCTACTACCGTGACCGGCACCACTACCCATAGTTACCCAAATTTTCAAGTTCTTAAATTATGACAATTCTAAGGCGTTGAAAGACCAGAACGGAATACACTGAAGAGTAACAGCTATTCTTTGTCATAACTAACCAACTCAAGGGAGCTGAGCCCTTCTTGAAGAGCCGTCAATTACGCAGCTACCCAAGAACTTCCCAACGATTTATGAATCCCGAAGGTTCATTACAATGTTCCCAAGCGCCCTCCACTGCTCCTATCCTGAGCCAGATAAATCCAATCCATCCCATCTTATCTCTCTAAGATTCGTTTTAATATTGTACTCTCACGTACATCTAGGTTTTCGTGGTGGTCTCTTCTGGCTTTCCCATCAAAATTCTATATGCGTTCCTCTTCTTCCCCATTTGTGCAACATGCCCTGCCCATCTCGTCCTCCTTGACTTGATCACTCTAATTATACGTACAAGTTATGAAGCTCCTCGTTATGCAGTTTTCTCCAAACTTCATGTCACTTCATCTCTCTTCGGTCCAAATGTTCTCATCGCCATGTACTCAAACACCCTCACTTAATGTTAGAGACCAAGTTTCACACCCATTAAATTACTATTCACGAAAAAGTTCTCATTTCGCTTCAGAATTAATATTAATAAGAATGGCGTTCAACTTGGCGCCCTGGCAAAGCAACAGCGCAGCTGACTCACATGCGGGAATTCTATGAACTATTTATGTGGTTTACTTTGTAACTGCATTGCGTTAAATGGTAGGATGGTTGGTGAGGAATTGGAAAGGATTAGGAAGGAAGTGGTGGTGGCATAACCGAGATACTATCCCCAGACTATACTAGGAAAGACTAAAACCCTCCGTCACAATAACCATTGTCCAGGCCGGGATTCGATTCGAGATCTCCAGAATACAAATTTAGAGTGTTAGCCTTCGGGTTCAGTAAACGCGGCCAGTTTCGTTACAACTGTTGACTTGTCATGAAGGCTCCTACAGCGTGGAGTTGTTCAGAAATCAGAGTTGTGTGAAACGTGAACAGCGTGGACGTGTTGATATGCTGACTCAAGACAAGTAATGTATGTATGTATGTATGTATGTATTATAGTGTACCGTAATAGGTTTTTATTACTATGTACGCAGGACGACCTTATTGTTCCTAGCCACATTTGTTATTAGATGCGTCATACGTGTCGTCTCGTTCTTGTGTTTGTGTCCATCTTCATGGTGTCAGGGATTTGTCACTAACAGTATTCGATATCTGACACTCCTCTTCTAGATATGGCGAGCTTCCGGCGAGGGCATCAGTTGAAGCGTCAGTTCTCATGACCATATATAGACATCCCCAGATGTCATGTGTTCTTTTCCTGTAAAAAAGAAAATGCGACGATAGTGCTGACAGGAGCGTGAAGGTACATACAATATTACGCTGAGTTACTGGGTTTTTGCACTTTTTTTCCATCGTCCGATATGCTACAAGTCCAAAAGGCCAGTACCTCTGTTATACACCTCACCACAACCCTTTAGAATGTACAAGAAGATTACAATCTGCTGGGCTACGATGCCATTCAGTCTAATAGACCGTTAACTAAATCTGCAGCTTCTATTTTCTGTCCTGAAGATGGAGTCATCAGGTTCCTCCGAAGCGTTGCTCACAGTCAACCAGACTACACGGGGTTTCATCCCGGAAGACAGAATAGTCACGATCATGAGGACTTAAGATGTCCCAAAAGTTACATGATCTTCACAATATGTAGGCCACTCATATATTAGGATGAGCAGATCAAAGCACGTGTAGCACGAATGGGGCAGATGTGAAATAAATAATTCTTTGTGATATCTTCACCATTACACTCTTGCTAATTATGAAGGTAAGGTATCCTTGTAACAGGCCGTGGAGGCCCATAGGGTTGTGGGGCGTCGAGGCTCCCACATTTTTCTAGATGATCGGCTCACAGATGGCGGTGAAGTTGTCAGCCTTACGCGCTGGCCTCCCTTTACCCTCAGTAAGATTCCTGGTACTTATTCCTGCTAGAAGCTGAGTCGACCCCAGGGCCATAGTGCGGCTGGAAGGATTAGGTAAAACGAAAAATCCAATGACCTCATCGGGAATCGAACCCGCGATCTTTCTTCTTATAGCATAGTGCCTCAACCAACTGCACTACCGCGTGCCCCCCTGACAATGATTATAGGAATAATAAGTCATCCTGTGTAACAAATTTATTAGAATGTATCAAACTAGGCGTGACGTACTGCAAAAGAATTTAGGAACTCTTAATCCTTCCAGCCGCACTATGGCCCTGGGGTCTACTCAGGCTCTGACAGAAATGAGTACCAGGAATATTCCTGAGGGTAAAGGGTGGCCCTATGGGCCGACAGGGCCTGTTACAGGGATAGCTTTACCTTTTCATAGAAATTTTATAATTCATAAGAACCGTATTTTAAGACCTGGAACAAGCGTAAAACTAATGTGCCTTTATCACTTACGATACCATTGCCATTTTTCGTGGCAGTGTCTGGAAATTTCTAAATGTGACGAAGCTTTGATAAAGTTGCTTGCACCACCTTGGCCACGGGTGGTAGCGAAGACAGACTAAAGTTGGTCGTCCAGTCCAAAAGCCACATCCGGTCAGTAATTCAGAAGTGAAATGTGGCCAACAAAACTACATTGGTGTCTCATGCAAAAATATAGCCGTGTATTAGTTTTAGCACACTCCACGCTGAGGATTTCGCTTCTCTATAACCCTCGGTGTCCCCTCTGTTCAGTCATGTGAAGAACGAAAGATAAAAGCCTGGAAGCCCCGTTGATCATGTGCAGCTGATCTGCGGCTCGTCCACGATGAGTTGCTTGTTTGCGTCTGGACCCACGTTGCCCGGCCTACGCGCAAATGCACAGGCTGGGTGAGCTACACCGCACCTACACGATAACATGAATACACTCGAACACACCCATGCCGCCTGAAAGTTTACACAGAGAAATCGTTTGGACGAGTAGACGATACGCACAAGAAGAATGGGATTTAACTGGTTTTAACTAAATATTATTCATGTTTCCCTGTTTTCATTTTTGAATAATTATATGAAATTGTAACATCGTGCTGTGCAACTGTTTGGCATAGTGGTAAACATCTGATGACGGACGTTAAAAGTTACCATTCCAGCTATCAGAGCTCCGAAATTGAAGATTCGAATCGTAAGCCCTTAAATTCGGAGCGTGGGTCTGATGTGTATTTATTTAATTGGAACGTAAGTCGAGAAAGACAGGCATGACTGCATATCAAAACAAGATCTCACCCACAACTAGGAATACACAGCAACTTGATAAATTAGACCCAAATAAAATGAACATAAGTATAATAAATCTAAGAGTTAATAAACAAGAAAACACGTGTAAAGTAGTCCCAGTGCTTAATGAAGCATCACGCGATGAAGACGTATGGTGGAGTGAAGACAGAACTCCACATATTCTTAACATCGGCACTAGATGAAAGCGAGTGGTCAGGCGCTGTACCCCCAGTGAAACAGCTCTTGGTACATGTTTAGCAGGCCGCAGAGTGGGCCCCAAAGCCGGTCTTAACGGGGTGGAGAAAGAAAATAATAGTCTCTTGCCCCCGCTGGTATTGAACCACGATTCCTCTGTCGTCCAGCCCATAGCCTAGTCACTATACCGACTTTAGTAAACGAAATAATCACAACAGTACAGTAGGCCATCTCTTGTGTTCAGGGAATGTGGTTAAAAAATGCACAAAAATCTCCAAATGACGTCATTCCTTCACTACGTTCTGGCTTGGCTGGAAAGCGTTTAACTCATTCTAACAAACAGTTTCAATTAGATACACAGACCATTCGGTTTTGAGGGATAATTGACTCTAATTGTCTGATGTATCGTATAAAAACATTTCTGATTCATTGTCAATCCAAGCACGGAGAAAGCTAGTGCGAACCCCTCTTTCCATGGTTTTACGATTATTACAAAGAAATTAATTCACGCCATTGAGTGAAACCATCCGTCGAACGTAATACAAACTCTTGGACACTTTGTTGTTTCCTTACGTTATAGTTTTTTATTTTTTGTATGAACTGATCGTTAGACTACAGTTATGTTTGACGTGGAATTTGGAAGTCCACGGTTTGAATCTCGATCTAGACAACGACTATCTGCACGGATGTTTTCCGTGATTTTCCTCCATTCTCCAAGCCAGTGCCGGAATGGTGCCCTGAAATAGGCTACGATCGTCTTTGATCCACATTCTTTCCATCCGTTAATCATCCAGAACTACTAACAAAAAGAAAACCTCTGTGGCTTTAGTCCGCAAGCGAACTATACCGACTGAGCGACCACCGCTTGACGGCGATGTTAGTGCCAACTTTAGCGGATAGAGGGTGTTGCGTGGTCAGCGCAACGAATCCCCACGGCAGTTAATTTCGGGTTTCTATACCGGAGCCGCTATTTCTTTGAAATAGCTCCTTAATTATCATCACGAGGTTGAGTGGACTCCGTTGCAGACCCACTACTTTTCAGAAAATCTGGTAGCGCCGGGAATTGAACCCGGACCTCTGGATCTGTAGGCAGGAACTCTGACCACTAGACCACAGAGGCAGTCGAACTACTAACAGTGTTTTTAAGTAAACTATAAATAAAAGTTATAAGTATCAAATTTAATGGAAAGATAATAGTGAATGGTAGGTTCCATCAAAGTATTGCTTGACCAAATGAATATAACTGTTAACTTTACAAGTAATATTATATATTATGGTATCATCCCTAGCTGGTAAGCCTTTTCACGAACTTGGTTTGTCACTCAGGTATAAACACATCATGCAAGTTGTGAAGTGCTGAGCAGTAAGAAGCGTTTCTCAGACATCTTGTGCTTTGTTTCAGTCCCACCCATGTCAGAGGAAAAGGTAGAGCTGACCCGAGTGGGCAGTTTGTGCAGTCCAGACCCACAAATCCAGCTGCTAGATGCCTGGACATCCCGGGACTTCTCCACATTCTGCAACCTCCTGGAGAAGCCAGGTGTGTCAGCTGACCACTGGTATGATGACCCCCATCTTGCCACATGCCTGTACCTGACCAGCAAGGAGGAGGATGGGGCTGAGTATGCTAGAGCTCTTCTTCAAGCTCGTGCTGAACCAAACAACATGAACGGCATACGTATGAAAGCACCCATCCACGTTGCAGCTGCAGCTGCAAATGTCGAAGTGCTCAAGGTGCTTCTCTCAGACCCACGAACTGATGTTAACATAAAGGACAACTTTGGGAATACAGCATTACATACAATAGCTAAACAGAAACGTAAAGATGTGACTAAAGACATAGATAAGTACAAAGACTGTATTCGGCTTCTCCTGAATCATAGTAAAATTGACCCAAATCTGCCTAATAAGAGAGATTATAGTGCTGTCCATTTTGCAGCTGAAAATGATGCTAAAGAGGTGGTGCAAACAATTCTGGAAAATGCTGGAGATGGTTTAGATGTTGATAATAAGAGAACACTATCTGAGAGTGCCAGGGACATTATAGGTAAGAAATATCCAGAATTTGGTGACTTGTTACCAGAACGTGGAAGAGATGGGGATACAAAAACTGTAGATAGTAACACCCTGTTTCAGTACTTGTATCGTCGGAAACTTGGTGAATTCACTGATGCCGTTGAAATGCTTCCACACGAACAATTGGAGGCGAATGATGGGAATTATACGTTGCTTCAGTATTGTGCAGAAAATGGACTGGAAGAGCAAGGTAAGGCATTGTTGGACAGGAAAGTCAATCGCAATGCTACGTGTAAAGCAGAGCCTCGTCCTCCTGCCTTACTTGCTTGTTATGGTGGACACCCAGCCATCTTTAAACTCCTCATAGGCGAACATCCTGAACTTGTGAACATCAAAGATGCTAATAGTAAAAGGGGAACAGCATTCCATGCTGTCTTGGACTCTCCACGGGCAGACACATCGACTGTCACTAGAGACTACAGAGGATGTCTTGATCTACTCCTGATGCATTTTGGAGACCTCAAAATAGATATTAATGCTGTAGACCTGAAAGGAAACACAGCCCTGCACTATGCTGCTAAGAATGCAGATGATTATGCTGTCCTCTCTTTACTGAAGCGTGGGGCTTATATTGGTATCAAGAATGTCTTTGGTGAACTACCATTAGCCAGTATACCGCCAAAAACGTTGGAAGCATTCTTGAATGACTGCTTAAACACAAATGATGAGTTACCCAGAGAAGATACATATGAGGTGTCATTCTCTTACAAATTCCTTGTTCCACCAGCAAGAGAGTGTTGCATGCAAGAGCAACAAAATTCCCATATGGGTATGGATCTACCGCTTTTCAACTCCAGAAAGCCACCAGCACGTCGGAAGATGTCCACAGCAACAACAGAGACTGAACCTCTCTTGTACATCAGCCAATCTCGAGACTTGAGATATCTTCTCAGGCATCCAATTTTTACCAGCTTCTTAGATCTCAAATGGCATCATATTCGTATTTTCTTTTACATTAACCTCATTTTCTACATTCTGTTTGTGGCATTATTAACGTTGTACATTCTACTCAGTTTTGGGAAACCGCACATCATTGATTCAGGCAGAAATTCAGACAACACCACTGCCATCAGCAAGGATGCAACCGAAGAACCAGGAGGTGAAGCTTTGGCAGTTGTCAGAGGTAATATGTCTGATTTATGGAGGGCTTTTTCAATAGTCTTCTTGAGCTTGCTTATATTGAGGGAAGTGTTCCAGCTAGTTGTAGGCCCATTAAAATATTTGCGTTCTCCTGAGAATTATCTGGAATTCCTGCTACTCATAATGAGTGCATCGATACTGTTCTGTGAATGGGTCCAACTTAATGCCAGGCCACACTTCTCTGCTTTAACCATCCTGTTATCGTGGGCTGAATTGGTGCTCCTTATAGGGCGCCACCCTCATCTTTCAACCAACATTGAGATGTTCAAGACAGTCTCATGGAACTTCTTGAAGTTCCTTGCCTGGTATGCCATCCTCATCATTGCTTTTGCCCTCAGTTTCTATACTTTGTTCCGTGACTGTGGTACTGTTACAGAATGTGGTGAAGGAGGAGACTCCAATGATAATTTCTTTCTGGACCCTGGAATGTCAGTATTCAAAACAGTAGTTATGCTGACAGGGGAATTTGATGCAACATCTATTCCATTTGTGTCATTTCCTGGTACCAGTCACATTGTTTTTGTTCTATTCGTATTCCTCATTGCTATTGTGCTGTTCAATCTCTTAAATGGTTTGGCTGTCAGTGATACTCAAGCAATAAGAGACGATGCTGAAATAGTGGGTTACATCGCACGAGTGAAGCTCCTGTCACACATTGAAACATTGTTTCAAAGCTCTTCAGTTCCATTACTTGAGCCTCTTAAATGTATGTGCTGTTTCTGGCCGACAGGTAGCAACTGTTTTAAATCCATCAACAAGAGAGTATGTCTCTTTCCAGACAAAGTCCCAGATAATAAGATACGAGTCTTTCCTAATCGAGGGTTAAGGATTATCTTTACTAGCCATCAGAAGAAGTGTCAGGAAGAGGAAGAGGGAAGCAGATGTTGTCTAGATGGATGCAGAGCCTGTACTCTTGATTCTGGAATTTTGGAAAGGGCAATAGGGATCATAAACAATCGTGGTAAGGTTTCAGAAATGGAGGAAATGAAGATAAAACTTGACCGCATTGAGGATATGCTAAAAAGTATTTTGAAGCAGACCGAGCATCTGAATTCAAACTCTAAATATTTAGAGAACATTTAAAAATTATTCTTATGTATCATTATTTTACAATTTGACTGCTATGTGAGTAGCAGAATCTGCTGCAATACATGAGAGTTACTGCAAATAAATAATCAGTTTACAATATTTGTAATTGTGTAAGTGTTACAACACAGTAGAGCAAATAACAAGATACAAGATATGCCATTAACTAACGCATCTTGATATTTCATATATGTGTTGGGACAGTATTTACACAGGAAGTTGTGTTTGTTTAATAGGTAATGTAGTCTGCTGTTAAGAGTTCCTGTTTTTATGTATTATGACAATGCTTTATGCATGCCAGAAACATATAATGTTTTTAATATTCTGCAAGATCATAATTGAAGAAGTTTATGTAGCATGTATGAAGCTGTATTACATAGACAGTTATGTATTTAATTTTTACTGTTGCCATGTTAATGTTGTAATTTATGTTATGGAAACAGGCTTTACTAAATTGCAGAGTTGTGTATTCAGTTAACTTTAAATAGATAGTTATAAAGCAATTTTCACATTTTAATACAGTGTGGTCGCATTTTATGCAACTTTGACATACGCAAATTTGAAGTAGTGCGATATGAAAAGTATTAATAAATTCTCACTTTGTGCACAAAGTTTGAAATAATGTGAATTCTACAAAATTCAGCAGTATGTTTCTTCCTATGAGAAAACTTGTCTGAATCATATGAGGCCTTCAGGAATGTAACCCACACATAAAATGCAACTACACAGTGCTTGAGAAGTGACGTTTCTGAAGAAGTTTAAAATTATAAGATCAATCAAAAACATGTACATGGATATGAGCCAGTATAGCGACTGGAATACAGACTAGATGCCTGAGGAATCGTGGTTTGATTCTCAACAGGAGCAAGGCATTTGTCTCATCTGTGTAGAACCCAGATCAGCTCTGAGGCCTCTTGGGATGCTTTACCCAAGGGTACAGCAGCTGCAGCGTCATGACATGGTGCTTAGGCAGAACAACTTTGCTTTACCTTGTAGTGATATTAAGGGTTGTAAGGGGTGACAAACTGAACATTAAATAGATAAAGAGGAACAGTTACAATTCAGAGTTGAAATTTTATGAAGTAATTGTGAAAGATTAAGTACAAGAGGAAGCAAATCGTTAAGTGAAATGTGAGCAGCAGGAGTTAAATTTTATAATAAGTAAAGTAAAAAAGTAAAAAGTGAAGCTATCCCTGTAACAGGATGTGAAGTCCCATAGGGTTGTGAGATGTTGAGGTTCCCACATTATCTAGACAATCTGCTCAAAGATGGCGGTAAGATTGTCAGCCTTATGCGCCGGCCGCGCTTTACTCCCCAGGAAAATTAAATTTTATAATATACAAAATTAAGAGGAGATTGAACTCGGGTAATGCTTGCTACCACTTGGTCCAGAACCTTTTGTCTTTCCTCCTGCTGCCCAAAAACAAAAATTAGAATATAAAGAACTAGAATTTTGCCTGTGGTTCTGTATGGGTGTGAAACTTGGTCTCTGACATTAAGGGAGGAAGATAGACTGAGGGTGTTTGGGAACAGAGTGTTGAGGAGAATATTTGGACAGAGGAGAGATGAAGTGACAGGAGGTTAGCAGAAACTGCATAATGAGGAGATTCATAACTATTACTCTTCTCCAAATATAATTAGAGTGATCAAGTCAAGGAAGATGATGCGGGCAGGGCATGTAGCACTAATGAGGGAGATGAGGAATGCATATAGTATATTGGTGGGAAAGCCAGAAGGAAAGAGGCCACTGGGNGGGGGGGGGGGGGGGGGGGGAAGCAAATGGTGAAGAGACCTATGGGTTTGAATTCCAATTTAGGTGCAGATGCAACTCGTTATACTTGTCATTGTAACCCTTATATGCTTTGGCCCTGCCGTCCATGCAGACTTAACATCTATAATCCATGTCCAGTTTCAAAATTTCAGCATTTGAATAAATAACATGCAACTGTTCACATGCTTAATCCTGCTTAGGTTATGATGATGATAATGTTCAACGTTAAATAACTTTTTTTTTGTACTATTGAGTGTTTCATATATACAAAGCACTGAAAATTAAACTTACTATATTGTCATGTGTTGGGTATGACACGTGACAGATAACTTCATGTAGGTCTCAGATTTGTTGAACACATTTATTCTTGCACACTCAAATACAAATAGTATCACTTCAATTGCATTCTGCGGCGTCTGTCTTCCAACTGTCTCTGACCATGGCTGAATCCCAACTGTATTCAGCGGCGGCTATCCCAAGACTGTCTTGGCGAACGCATTACCTTCTTATATATCCGTGGCTGTTGCTTCACAGTGAACTTTCTGTTGTCCATCTCCGGGGAAACGCTGCTTCATTGTTTCAGCCTTCTCCACGCAACGGCTTCCTCGCATATTCTTCCACAAGGATTAACCCAAAGGTAATTTCTGTAGTTCTGCTAAGAGTTCAGTCTGGTAAAGAAATATACAAATTAATTGAACAATATTATGAGTACCTAGATCAGGAAGAGTGAAAACACTGCAGATGAATCACCATTGTTGAGAGCTGTTACTGAATCAAGACTGTTGGAAATAGACTGAGAAGACTTAGTGTGGAGTGATTTGTAGTGTGGAAGTCAGCAATAATGTTATAATTACTTGTAGTTATGATCTGTGAGTGTTGCATAAATCTATTCACCAATCCAAACCCCGTCTATAGTCACTAATACACATGACAATATGTATATGTTTTTTTTAGCCTACTTCCTTTTTACCATCTATGCCTACTTTCCCAGGTGGTCTTCATTAAATTTCCAAATGAAATTTAGTAGGCATATGTTATTCTTGCTGCATTTTGGCATGACTTATCCTCTTTAATCAAAAGCTGAATACAGTGGCATGGGCCAGCATCTATTCAGAGGGAAACCAAAGGCTTGGCTGGGGCTCATTAGTCCCACCTGGGACTTCTTTTGGATTTTTTTTTTCTTGGCACTACAGCCCCAGTGGGCCTAGGCCTACCTCCATGAAATTCTCCGTTCACTTCGGTTTTTCTAGATCTTTGACATATGGTAGGACTCCTTGGGCAGGTGATCAGCTCATCGCAAGGCCTCTACCTGTACACAAACACAGAAAAACGCACACAAACATCCATGTCCTGAGTGGGATTCGAACCCACGATCCCGGCTTCCAAGCGAGCGAAGACAGTGCATGCCTTAGACCGCTCGGCTACCATGACTGGCTCTTCTTTTGGATTTCCCCCCCCCCTTGGCACCACAGCCCCAGTGGGCCTAGGCCTACCTCCATGAACTCCGTTCACTTCGGTTCTTCTTTTGGATTAGCTCTGCATAAATAGAACTGATGTAAATTAAGAGGACCTCAGTCTGAAGGGTTTTGGCTCTAGCTAAGGTCAAGGCTCTTAAAGAGCCCAAGGAACACGGGGTACACAGTAGTCCCAGTAGGGGTCTGATTCCTTAAGAGATGACTAAGAGCTGTTCCTCCCCATGTCAGTACAGTGACACTACAAATACAACAGGCCACCTTCCTTTGCTGAGCACAGCAGAGAAAATTCTGAAGAAACCAAGGTACAGAAGAAAAGAACACTGAATGGATGGAAAGACTCTTGAATGGTCATTCATATGAAGCGCAGTCTGCAAACATGCTAACATCCAGGCTTGAGCATTTACTGCAACAAGCAGAAATATTTTAAATGTTTATTCAGATAAGCTCAGGGGTACATAGTAGTGTAGTTGGTTGAGGCACTATGCTACAAGCTGGAAGGTCATGGGTTCAAGTCCTGATGAAGTGGATTTTTTTTTTCAATTTACCTAATCTTTCTGCCCACACTATGGCCCTATGGTCGACAGCTTCTGACACAAACGAGTACCAGGAATCTTCCTGGGGGTATATGGCGGCTGGCGCATAAGGCCGACAACCTTACCACCATCCGTAAATCAATTGTCTAGAGAAAATGTGGGAGCCTTGACATCTCACAACCCTGTGGGCCTTCACAACCTGTTACATGGATGATAGCTTTACCTTTCCTTTTTACCTTTACCTTTATTCAGATAAACTCAGAAAAGTATTTATGCTTTCATGTAAAATCAATTTTAATTAAATATATGTTTGCATATGTGGGTAGACCTATAAATTCAGCTGGGAAGAAGCTTTGATTATATGAATTAAGTAATGTGTCTGTTGTATAATAATTCTTCCTTAATTTCCTCAGCTATTGTATTGGAAATAAAATATGTGTCATTCTTATTCACAACTTGTTCTGGAACACCTTTCACTCAGACAAATATTTAAAGAGTTATTCTCAAGATACATGCAGGAACACATGTAAGTCTTCACGTACTAGTAAAGTTCCCATTTTTTGCCCAGTTTTAACATAAACCAAAATATGTCAACAAATTTTATTAAATATTCATGAAAGCAAATTCAGTCGTTCTCAAGTTCCACGTGTGCAGATAGACAGATGATGTACAAATTTTAATAGTTGCTCCACAGGGTTCTGAATACACCTAAAATTGACCGATTTCGAATGATATTTTACTTGTCAAACAATTACCTATTTTTTAAAAATATTTAATGCTGCCAGTTACTGACAGCTATTGTGACAGAAGGTATGATGATTAAGGCGATGAATTTTGAATTGTGGGATAGAAAATAGTTATGGCTAATATTTTACACAGTTCTCAAATTGCCTTGAATTTTTTATGAGCCAGGATGACCAGTCCCAGTATTTAACTCAAGAGATTTTCTGGCTACAATACAAACATGTCACATTATAGCTGCTTTAGTGTGCAAGATTGTGTCCTGTCCATTCTATTGCAAATCGGTCAAATAATTATTTCCATGTGAATTTCTAAACAGCATAAATTCCACAACTGTAGTTGGACAGTCTTGAAAATAGGAGTCTAAAAGGTTTCATGCAAAGACACAGAAATCCTAATTTAGCTATTTATTGTTTCAAAGAAAATGGGTCGATCAAGCTCACACTCACTTTTATCAAAAATAAAATTATTTAAATATATGCTACATTTTGTTGTTTCTTTACGTAAAATTCGATATTGAACGTGGGCATGGTCTCAGATGTGAACACTTTGATTTTTACTCAGCAACTCCATATGCATGCTTTCAAGACGAATATGTAAAAAATCCATGCCGTGCCCTCATACAACTGTGATATCAATGGTACTATGTCATTTTAAAGAGCTGAACGACAGAAAGGGCACAAATGAAACAGCAAATGTTAAAAAAAAAAAAGCATAGCTTGCTAAGGGCATTACTTAAACTGGGATGGCTTGTCGAACCTTCAATGGATAAATTCGTGAAACAATCAATTTTATAGTCTAGCGTTTTACAATCTTGGGTACGACATCCTTTCTCATGCCAAATGCAGCATTTTCGTGCTTATATTATCTCTCACAAATTGCCAATGTCGACATTGCTCAGGATACATCAACCGATTTTCATACTGCGAGGTAGTATGATGTGAAGGTCGATATTTTCCGATTTTCATTTTGAAGTTAACAAAAGTAGTACTTAAAAATTTGCGCTCAGATTCTAAGTAATGTGGTGGCATAACAGAAACCGTTATTTTGAGAGCTTTTCAATTAAGTTTATCACATAAACGGTACCCCAATTTTTGTCTTTCTGA